AGAGGGCAGGTACCCCGCGAGCCCCATTAACCAGATCTTGTTTTGTCTAGAGCCTGTCCAAGCGCACGGGCGCATCCTTGGACGCGGACCGGCGTTTTAATTGTCGTTTTCTAATGCGAACGACAACAACGCTCGCCCAGTGTTTGGGAGTAGAACTGAATTTGCAACAAGAACGAAAAGTTATCCTGTGAGAGAATGGAAGGGAGCGGGAAGGCACTCGGTGGAGAGTCTGCACGTGGCGCAGACTGGCGGAGTGCGGAAGAAAAAGAGGCAGGTGTACAAAGCGATCTCAAGAACGTCGCAGCAGGGAAGTGGTAACAAGGACGACAGACAATTTCCGGCCCGGCTTTGCCGATGTTATTCCTATCTCCGGCAGATAGCTCCACCTCCTCCGCGCAAGTGGCAATTAACAGACGATAATTTCGTTTTCAATCGTCTCTTACTGCCGGTGTATCCGCTCAGTAGCTCCGACTTAGGGAGATTGTCGAGAGATTACTACTTGTGTAAATGATGAAAAAAAGAGCGAAGAAAGGAAGAAGGGTAAATTTAAGTTGGTGAAGCGAATGTCAAAATCCATGTTATATTTGTTATATGAAATTCAACATGCCACAAATTATATTACTCTTATTCCTCGCCATCGATCATATCGATCTTTCCTAACGAACGATACAATATACATCTAGATAATGTCCGCGTAAGAAACCGCCGATAAAGGATATTTTTTTCAAGAAATATCTATAATTTTACTATAATGCCTGGGCATGATACTAAAAGAATATTATTAATAAGAGTATGTTGGTTTTCTTTCCGAACATAAGGGCGCGACGGGCTGATGTTGAGCACTACTCTCCCAAGTAATAAATTCCTTCAAATCAGAAACATTATCATCTTAACAGACTTCAAAAACTCCTCTTCATAAAAGTGCCACCGTAATCCGTAACCTTTTGGCGAAAAGCAATAAAACAATGAATCGGAAGTCTCTGAAGTTTCAAAACCCTCTCAAGAAGATACTTCTTCCTCCCTCCTAAGCCCTTTTATTTACAATCCCCGCAAATTACCCTCGACTCTGAGAACGACTGCCCAATGACCTAAACACAGGAGCGGGCCCTTCACGGAGGGGTGGTTGACCTCCGCCACTCGCCGTTTTAAGGCGCCAGGCACGCGAGGGCGCTCAGGTGTCAGGTTCCCTTCGCGAGAGCAGGTGCCGCCGCGACGAGGGTTGGGGCAAGACTGCCCCACTATCAGCCCATTCAATAGCGCCGGACAGCCGTAATGGGCCAACAAGTAATCCGCGCGGGTTGGCCCATTTGCGAACCCCCGCTAATAGAGCCGGCCATCCACCTGATGACATCGAAAGTTGACCGCCGAACTGCAGCGGCACAATGCGCTGGGTTGTCGGTTCACGCCAAAACAATTACAAGTTACGAGTGCTTCGCCTATTTAGAGGCACTTGACGGCCAACGCGCATTAAAAATCTTTTTTTTTTTTTTTTCCTCAAATTCATTCGAGGTGTTTTTTTTTTTTTGAAAACTGCATAGTACAAAAAACAACAACAAAAACTGAAGGTTAAATTTATACGTCGTCAAATTAATGACGAGGTGTTGCCATAGTTGCTAGACTATGTTAACTCACAAGAATTAAATATGAAATATGCCTCAGAACTTTGGATAAGGGTAACAGAATTATCGAAATCAATCAATAAATAAATGGGAGATTTGGAAAGAATAATCATTCCTTCCCACGCAGGGAGAAAGTGGATTTGGAAAGCGTCAATTTGTGAAATTTTAGGTACACATTGCCTAAATCATAAATCCACTAAGACAAAATGCTCAAATAATTTGAAACGGATATTGGAGATTTCCTGAGCATAACATGTCGGTGGATCCTCGTGACCAGGACCCCAAAGCTTTGCCAGCACGCGATGTAGTATATCTACACTTGGATTGGCCATAAAAATGCCTCTTACAAATTCAATGTCCATCTCCTTGTTAATAGGATTTCTAAATAAATATAACGAAATTCATCATTCAAATAATGGCTGGTCTTTGGGAAATATTTTGTTACTTTTCACTCAAAATGCCAAGAGAAGGGAATATTTTATGCATGAGTCAAGTTACTGACAAATCTATCTTTTATTCTATCACGACGAATTTACAAAACTCTTATCCTTCTCAGAGATCTAACTTCACAAGAAAAAACACATTGCCATGCTAGCGAATCCCCATTTATATGCTCTGTGTCCATCAATTTTTACCGATCATAGTAAGTCGTGACATTGATGTTACTATGACAACTGGAAACAACAAGAACCATAAACACCTAAGTAAGATTTTATGTGACTATATTGTACTGGGAAAATAATTCCATAAATGTTTCGAAGTGAAATGTGAAATGTAGATGAATATTGATAGTTTCCTCAAATGAATTGTAGTAAATGCGGAATGAAAACGAATTGCACTTGAATAAAAATACAACAATGTCGATCAAAGGACAGCAAAGACTCCTCCTGTACAGGCCCCGCTCCAACGTAACAACACAATGTTAAATTTTGCCTTTCTAATAATTCTGGAACACGATTCACTAATTATTTACCGACTTGCAGTTATACGTCTTTTCCAACCCCATTGAACACCTAACCGAACCTGAATGCAAAAGTGTCTTCCGGTACGGCAACAATAGACAGACGATTTGCAAAACGATTCAGGCATGCAAAAAATACATTTTTTCCTCTCTTAAAAAAATAATCAAGTGTGCGATAATGGTTCGCAAGGCGGAATGAGAAGGGCCATTCCTTGACGGCAATCGCGATTGCGCCGCAGCTGCCCTGGGCTTGCAGCGCGCTGCCACTGGTGGGCAGCAGCTGCAGGCCCATCGGAGGCCTGCGCGTCGATTGTTCGAGGCGCGCGCAGCTGCCGCTACCGCCTCCGTCGCCACCGCCTCCGTCGCCACCGCAGCTACCCCCGGCGACCGCAACAATGGCCGCCGACGGCGCTCGCGCTCATGCGCAACAATACGCCAACAATGCAATCGCGTCGCCGAGGTGCCCGGCGCATTTGAAATACAATTTTTTCTTTCTTTAATATCACAAATGAATTTAAGAAATATTTTTTTAGGAACAGCGGGAAAATGTAAGCAGTTAATCAAACGACTTTACAACAATATTTGAAGACATGAAAAAATTCGGTGTTGGGAAAAATAATAGATGCACAAGGAATGCAACATTCCGCGATTAATAATAATTAACAAATGTTTACATTACTGTCATTTTAAACGGTAAACAAATTGAAAAAAATTCAACCTTTTAATTTGTATTACGTTAAATTTCGAAAAACCAAGGAACCAAAACGGGCCATAATTAAAACCAATAAAAGAGAGATCTAACGCTTCGAGAAAAGCCCCGTCCCGCGAGGGCGGCGCGCCTGTCCTGTCATCGCGCGGAGGCCGTCGCAGGGCGGCGCACGTTGGCGCGAGCACGCGGTCCCTGGCCCGGCGCGGGCTGACCCGGCCGTCGCGGCGCGACGCTTTGGTAAACAAAGGAGCCGGCGGGCGACCACGTGAAGAGGCTGCTCCGAAAGCCCGAACCGCGGGCGGGACAGCGCCGGGCGCGCGCCCGCGCCCCCACCGACGTCCTCGCGCTGCTGTTCCGAAACCCTCTAGAAACCCAACACTCCAGCTAGAGAACCTCAATATCTCTGCGTCCCCGTTGAAAAGAGCACAAGCGAAAACCGAACATGTTACCGATTTTGCGGGAGTGTCTAATAAACCTGTTGGTTGCCTTAGTAAGCGTCCGAACCGTCAATTTAAGGATTAGGGGGAAAATTTTAAGAGAACTCTACTCTGTACGTATTGCAAATATATTCGGTTAATCATATCACAGCTAACCAAAAGCATTTATGCGACGAAAAATGTGGGATTTCTATTTGAAAGTTGTTGCCTTTTGTTCAGAACATTACTCCCCCTAATGCTTTTCCCAAGCAAGTAGTTTGCAAGCGTATCCATATATTGCGGCAAAAAATATTTAACTATCCATCCCATTCTCCCAATAATAATATTCCTACCAGTACGCCATCCTTCCCTCGCATTAATAAAAAAAGAGATTACCGAGGGGGAAAAATCAAAATTTCCGTTGTATTGCGCCATTGTGCCTTCCCCGATGTTCGCTCGAGAGAGAGAGGATTTTCCCCAAGTTGGCAGCCACATATATTTCCATTCCTTTCCATGCCGACGTAGACAGAGCAGCAAAGGCACTGAAACGAGGTGGCGCAAGTTTCGGATGCGACTTGCCACAGAGGGAGTGTATGATAACAGGCGGCCCCTCCCCCTCCGCGCCGCGCCGAAGACCCGCTCAAATTCAAAACGCCATAACACATGCCGCGGACGGCGGCGGCTCACGGATGTCACTTCCCGCCCACCGCCCCCAGCCACCCCACATCTTCGACTCTTGTTTTTTTGAGTGACAGTCTTTAAATTCGCACACTAATGCTTCAAATCACACTCCGAACAATGACACAGGGCACTGGCACTTCGTAAAGATATGCGACGCTGGCCTCATATGATGTCCACTAAACCAACCACAAGACATCAAAACAGCACGATATTTTGAATAAATATTCATGCAGACGTGGAATTTGTATGAAAGTAATTTTCTACTCAAGGTTTTCTACGTTGTCATGCGTGTGAGGAATAAGGAAGAGATAATATTGTCAAAACTGGTCAAGCGATGTTATTTTGATTAAAATAGTCATTGTGCGTCAATATTTCCACAAAATATATATATTAACTAAAAGTCAGCCGCACTGAATCTAATTTTTATACAAAATCCAAACACTTGTGAAACATCCAGACGCACTTGTATAACGTTGACGAACAATGACACATTTTTCACGTGAAATTTTGGCCAAGAAAAAACACACAGCGAACTGAAAAAGACGTATTCTTACCTGTACGTCACACCACATTGTCGCCTAAGTCAGCCAGAAGCCATTGCCACTCGCAGTTACTTCTGCTTGCACCATAGCACTAACGCATCCGCCGGCCCAACCAACGTAGCGCCATGCAGCCGCCGTACTGGGGAGCTTCGGACGGCAGCCACACGAGCCGCTGCGATACGCCATATTCCTCGTCGTCAACGATCGGGAACGTTCGGGCCCTCTCGGCGGAGAGGGGGATTCGTGAGGCCGTCGGGAGCTTCGGGTACGTTCGGGCCCCATGACCCGAAAGCCTTGGGCTGTGACGAAATTGTCATGACGTGCGGCGGCGGCGGCGCAAGTGGGTAGGGACGACTACGCGGGATAAAGCGTAGGGCGAAACTGCTTCTCTGCGCCCTCCCTTTGGTTCTATCATGGCAATGGTTCATTTTGAACGAGAGATGGGTTGGTTGGTGCTGTTGGTTCGAGTCAGTATGTTGAAACAATGGATGTGAATGCAGTGAGCTTGTAGAGAACGTGTACGAATCTACTTTTCTTAATTCACAATCATGAAAATTAAGTGAGCAATCATAGCGGTCAAAAAATCAATTGTCAGAAACTTGACGCTTCCTGAAAAACAGATTTTTATGTCAATTTACTTCGAAGAATGAACGCTTTCCGTTGTTTGGATTTTAAAATCCTGATTAAGAGTTGGCCTCTACTCAGCGTCCTCGACACAAATGTTTTTTGTAGCGGACAGAAACTCTGTACAGGTGTTTTTTAAAGTATTTTAAGCAAATTTTTAACATTATACATACATGCAATTTCAGAAGTTGAGTTACAAGAACAATTTCCACGCAGAAAAAATTCTAGCTCCTAGCTCATGGTCATCAAATTAATCCAACTACGATTAATGCAATTCTGTAACAGTGAACGTACATACATTTCAAAAACGTATTTGTGATTATTTAAATTTTCAATTTATCACATTATCTTTTTATCACATCTTTTGCAGGAAAATTGCTTTCAATGTAAATACTTTTCCAATTATTCATTCTTTGATGTCACGTGTGGTACATTTTTTTGTCAACTCTAACCTAACACGCGATCTCTCGCTCCATTCTTTCTTTTTTTGCTTATCTGCGGAGCCTTCTGCTTCGTACACTAGATGTCTCTGGCGTTTCCTACCTGATGGCTCATGTCACGAGGTCTCGCGGTTCTCGATGTAGTAGTGATAAGAGATCGACGAGATGCAAAACCAAGTAATGTTTGGGGAATACGATGTCATTGTTGCTTATGTGTAGTAAAACGTACTGATCAAACAATGTCATGCAGTGATTTTTGCATGGAAAAAACCCTATCACAAACATATCCGTTATATGAGTTTAAAAACACTGACAAAAGAAAAGAAAATAGAAAAAAGGAAACATAGTAACTTATTTTATAATACATTTCAACATTTGGAATATGATATCTGCTTCTAAGGATAACCGTGCCGTTGCAAATAACATGAACTTCGCAAAAGGTAGAAGTTATCAAACAATATTATTATATAATACTTTCTTTCAACGCACGTTTTTTGTAAAATATAACACAATGCCGTCCAATGCTCTGTGAATGTAAGCACACACCAGTTATGTTGTAATACAAAATGAGAAAATTGCGTTTCAAATCCTATGATTCAAAACGGAAGAATGAAAACAATAAATTCATGAAGTTTAAGTGTCTCACTGGGTGCTAAACCTTAGAGATGCTATACGTTTTTATTTGTTTTGATTAATATTAATTGTATTTGGAAAACAAAAATCGAAAATGAAAGGAAATTCATATGACTTAATAGGTGGTAATATTTGCACAACAAACGATTATAGAAGTGCACAGGTACATTTTCTTATAGAAAGTGTACAGATATATTTCTCCGTAATCCATATAACTAACTATATATTCAGACACACACATTCAGTCCAAAGTACCCGCGAGGGGAGAGAAGCGGAGGCGGACTACATACACCGAGGCAGCGAGAACACCGCACACAGCCGTACGCGGGCCCGCGGCGGAGCGGAGGCCGAAATGGAGAGGCAGAGAGGAACAGACGGAGGGACGAAGAGTGGGAGGCGCGGCGTCGGGAGCGGGAGCGCGAGCGCGGAGAGAGCAGAGAGCGCGGGCGCGAGTGAGGAGAGAGAGAGGAGCGGGAGAGGGAGAGCAGCAGCGAAGATGGCCGCCTCGAGACGGCTGCGCGCGGCGCGCGAGCGAGCGGCGGCGTCGGCGCGGCGCGGCGCGGCGCGCGGGGGGCAGGCAGGCAGGCGGTGAGCGGCGGGCGGGCAGAGGAGGCGGGAACCAGCGTATCCCGGAGCGACGCTGGTGCGGTGGCGGCGGCGGCCCCGGGCCCCAGCCCCGCTGCGCCCCGCGCCCCGCCGCTGCTCGACGGCGCCCGCCCGGCGGCCGCGGCGCTCGGCGAGGTGCGGTCCCCAGCGCGCTCGCGCGCTAGCTGGCTCGCCCGCCCGTTCGCTAGCTCTTGCGGCCGCTGCTCGCCGCGGTCCTGCCTCGCCGTGCCGCCCGTGCTTCCTGCGCGTTGCCGCCGCAGACGCGAGGAACGGGAAATTGACGCCTGATAACAGCGCGTTGTTTATTGCAGGCAAATCGCGGTATCCTTCCCCTTTGCAGCCCGCTGGCGGTAACAGCGCGGCTCGGATATTGGGCGCTCGTTTCCCTCCCTTCGGCGCCGGCGCGTCGCGTCCTGCTTCGCCCCCACTCGCGTCAGTAACGCCTCTACCGTTCACCTGTTCCTGTGACAGCTCATTGCGTTTGTTTTATGTTTGTTCATCATATTAATCACCGGCCCTGTCGACCGCGGCGGCGGCAGAGGCGAGTTTTTAAAGGAAGGAACACCCATCGCCTCGAGGTTGGGCGAGAAGCGGCGGGGGCGAGCGGCGAGTTGGCGGGAAACGCTTCTCTCTCTCTCTCTCGTCGCTATTTTATGTTCCAGCTTAGTTTGGACGGTGGCTGCGCGCCACGTTACGAGCGTGTTTTCCTAGCGGAGAACTGCGCCAGCAACGCGTGCGCGTCAGAAGATAGGGCGTTCTCGTTTATAGAGAATCAACGGGTGACATTTTTTGGACTCACCCCGTTAAAAATACATCCCCGAAATTTTCAATATCGATTGAAATAAATTTTGTTATAAATCTTCATTGTATTACAACTCTCGGCTGTTGTATAATACGTTATTTTGCAGGGTTATCAAAACATGTATCATGTGTTCGTGATTAAAATATCTAGAAAAAAAGTATATTAGTAAACATACATTACCATTACTCTAATGAGATGTAAACAAGTAAATAAGTAGTGCTCTTCGAAGAAAATGACAATTCAATTAAATATTCAAACATGGAATTATGTTATATATTTTTTGTAGGTAGAAAATGCAAATGACATCGAAAACCTGAAAATATTATTTGATTACTCCCCGGTGATAGGTTAATATCTTATTCTTCACGAAGGAAAAATGCAATTAAAACTAGCTCCTTAAACGAAAAAAAAAGATTTAAAAAGAACTAACGGTTTCTGAAGTAAAAGTACATTTTTTTAGTCGTTTGTTTTTGGAGATGTCATTCGAAGTTATAGATTATCGGTATAATGTCAGTAAATTAACAAACCAATTTAAGAAATATAATACTCATTAAATTTTAACTGTTTAAACGTCCTGTGAATATGTGGAACTGAGAATTAGAATAGCAGTTCAGAAACTAACATCACAATATTTTCCCGGGAGATGTCGCTAGCGTGACCATGACGTCACATTTCGGAAGGATAGTCGCCGTGAAACGGTTTAAAGATTTCTGAGTAGATTTGGGGTAGACAGATATCAATGTATTCATTCTAATAATAGTCTCTGTGCTGATGGTGATGATGACATTGATGTAATAATCTGAAGAGTTTACGTGCTTCTCAAAGGTATTGTTTATACTATGTAAGTTAATAGACATTTATGTTCCAGTTCAGCAAAAGGGTCTTTGGTGAACTCTTTTGCCTTTGAAATGTTGTCGGACGAAGCGATGAAATGAGCTGAATCTGGCACTTCATAATACGTCAAATACCCTTTCGAACGAGTGCAATACTTTTTACAATGACTTCATGAATAGCACTATTGTATATTCCTTGGGATCAATCTCAAGATGCAAAGCGGCAGCCATGTTGATTCATATCGCTCCCGTGTTTTGTTTACTTTGCAGTAATTCAGCCGTTTTATTCGGCCACGACTTGTTTGCAGTACGCATAGCATGAAGTAACATTTTCCAATCAATAAACAGAGAAGCATGAGTCAATTTTCCAAGCATGAGTACTAACAAAGTTCCTTGTAAATTATTTATTACATAAGTTTCGCGGTGGCGTCAAGGGACAAAACCCGACTGATCGTTGGTGGGATCCACCGAACATCATCTTCGACGCTATGTATGCCACATCGGCAGCAAAACATCAATGTTTCTAAACATCAATGTTTACAATTGCGTCATCGATGTTAACACAACATTGCCCTAAAACCATCGATGATTTTAAACACCGATATTTTTAAAAATCATTGTAACCATTAATATTCACGGTGCCACAAAAATAGCAAGGGGCCTTAACAATAACAATAGCTACTATACCCGAAGTCTGAAAAGAAATGTTTACACAGTTTAACAAAGAACGCGATAAAATAGGACTTCACGTGAACACGCAGAAGACAAAAATAATGACAAACCACAAATAAAAAACAGTGACAGTGGATCGACGAATTATTTAATACGTACGTGAATATAAATATTTATTGCATTTGATCTAATTCAAAAACAGAACAAACTAGGAAATCATCGCCAGAGAAACCATGGCATAAAAACGTTTTGGAGTTTAGCTTTCATGTTTTTAAACAAGAAAATAAACTTCTCAATAAAGAAGAAAATTATGGATGGAAAATTATCTATGTTACCAATACTTATCTATAAATCACAAACTTAGTCATTAACGGAGGCAAACAAAACCGCTTTAAGATGTCAAAGAAAAGTGGAGCGCAAAATTATACATATAACATTACAAGGCAATATTAATAGTGAGGTAATAAGAGCAAAAACTGAAATAACAGATGCAGTGACCAAAGCAAGCGCAGCGAAATGGCGTTGGGCCGGACATGTTATGATATTTACAGCAAGGCAAACTATTCTCTCATACGA